GGGAGAGTTCCTGCGGGAATGATAGGAAGCCTGGCAAAAAATCCGAACCAAATCAAAACAAAGCCAAAAGTAAAACAAACAAACAAACAAAACCTCAACGTGATAAACTTCTGCGGAATAGCAGCTCTATTTTTCTTTCGGTTTTAGCTGTATAAACTTGCTCCCTTGGATTCCTCCACTAGTCACTTACTCTCTCCCGAAGAACCATTGCGTATAAGATCCAATTATGATTTAAGGAAGCAGCATTTTATAGCCTCTTCTTTGTGCTTCAGCCAAGAAGTTTTAGATATTACTGCGCTTGTACTTGAAGTGTGTGAAAAAAGTATGTAGAGCACATGTGGACTGTCACAGGATTTGTAATTAAAATGATTCCTGGGGGGCGGACATGTAAAAGGTCCTTTTCTTAAACTACACAGAAAATAATTTTATTGCCTGTGTAGTCTAAATGTATCATTCCTTTGCCTTAAATTGCAGGAATTTAACATATCCAGCTTGAAATCAGACCAAACTTCAGTTTCAAGAACCACAGATACAAAAATACCAAAATGCGTTTGTTGTCCATCTAATGCTAACAGTTCCATCACGAATTAGAAATTATAAAAACCACATGTTAGAATAATGAGTGACAACGTGTCACTTCACATCATCAGTCTTAGGGTACAACATGTAAGAATAGGAATGACAATTCCTGAAAAGGACAAGAGCAGTATACGAGATAAAGCAGGATTTTTTTCTTTTTAAGTCTCCATGGATTTTATACCTTTCACTATTCAGAGTCTGTACTTCAAAGGCTTATGAGTTTAAGTTTTATGGATACCAACCAACTACTGACTTCACTGATTTTAGTCCTATATTAACTGGTATCATGCACCATTAGTGATTCCAAAATTCAATCTGAAAATGGAGAAAGGCAGATTTAGATAACACATTTGGAAATGTAATCATAAAATGCTTATGGCAGACTTTGGCAAGTTTGTGACCCAGTTATGTGCAGAACCAAGAATTTACTGTTTCTAGTGTTTCTATTGTTTTTCTCACAGTAGCACTTTTCATCTCTTTACTCACAGCTCAATTTCAATATATTATCTCATAACCAAAGCAATTAATAAAAAGTACAAATACTCAGTGTGATTTTTGTGCAAATAACAAAATCTACAAAGAATGGTATAGAATACATTATTAAGGAGCAGAGTAAGTATAATTTTTTTTTCTAAAATCAGAAAGATAACTACAAGGTTTTTGGAAAACTGAAGTCTAAACCTTTAAAACACATCAACTTAATTGTGAAATATAGAACTGTATTGGGTGAAGTATCCATAGGCAGCCATGAAATTAGAGATACACTCTGATTTTGCATGAGTAGCTATATGAGTTATTAGTCAGTTGCTCAATTCAGTCAAATGTGAATGTTTGCAGTCTGTCTTTTGTTCTGATTTTAAACGTGACATGTGCAGGGATATTTGTTCAGAATTATGCAAGTAACAAGGTAACAGAGCAAACCTTAAGATCTAATAAAAGCTATCCAGTTGCCTAGGCATTTTAAAATTTAGCCATTTCTCAGAAAAATTGTCTGAAAGTGTAAATAATATCCACCACCTAAATATGATAAACAGAGCATACTTTGCCTGCTTGTGCCACAGAGGTCTTTTTCCTAATGTTTTTGTGACAGCTGTGGCTGCTGTAAATGTTGTGTTGTTTTTTTTTTCTCTATTTGGGGAATACAGGGAACCAGAATCTCTTGGAACATCTAGAGGAGACTGAGAAGGACCAAGAACCACCACACACACCACCTAAGAAGAGAAAGATACCTAAACCCCAGATGCTTCCCCTGTAGATTTTACTGTTGAAAACACTAGTAAACATTCATAAAATAATTCAACTTTGATATTGATAGTGCCCTTCTAAAAGAATATGAGGGGAAGAGGATTGTGAACACAAGTGCATAGCCCTTCAGTTGAGTTGTCATTCATTCAGCTAAATTAACATAATTATTTTCCTGATTTATATTATTATTAAAATCATTATTATCATTATTATTAAGCCTAACTGCAAACTGCAGATACTATCTAGCCTAAAATATGGTAGTTTTAGAGAAGCAGTCACCCTTGTTGAAGATCCTGGAGAGAACTAAAAGCTTTAGAGGAGAAAACACATCAATTTATTACCCCATGATGTTCATATTTGCTATATTTAATGCTACTGAGAATTTATCAGTAGTCCTAAATCCAGTGTTTTAAGTATTGTGTTTTAGTCCTCACTTTTTAAATGTTTTAATATCCTAAGACTTCTTGATTTTGCAGTGTTTGGCTATCAATTTTCCTAACATTGAAACTAGTTTAAATCAATTCTTACCTTTCTGGCTTGTGCTAACTAGTACTTTATTTTTATTTCATCTCACTAACAGCAGTGAGACTATTTCTTCTAAGGAGCCTTTTTCTCTAGTCCCAAAATGTGCTTGTCTTTCTAAGCAGTACAAAAATGTATACATATATAGCTATAATTCACTTATATTGAATATGCAATACAAAGACATAAACTTTAAGATTCTCAGCAGAAACACAAACTTTAAATAAGCAAAAAAGGACTAAAAACCAGCAGAATAGAATTTCCGACCTTTGCATTTTTAAATATTAAGGAAAACCTTTTGCATTTAATACTGTACAACCTCAAAAGCACATTAAGTATACAGTCTCAAAAAAACAACAAATCATAGTAGCAAAACTGAAATATGCTGAGGCAGAGATGTTTGTTTATTCTTAAATTCAGGCATCCAATTCATTCAGCAGGGAGGGCTGAATTCCTGCTGGGCAATCAGAATTGGACATCCCATGGGGGATGTCTATTGGAATCAGCACAAGATTTGCTTAAAGCCTAAGAACCAAAGCTGGCTTTTGTGTAGGACAGTGGTTACTTTTGCCATTTTTCACTGATGTGTCCTGAATCAGTCACCAAGAATGTTCTGTTGCTTCCATCCCTTGTTTCTTGCTTTTCCTTCTCTATTTCTCCCTTCCCGACCTTGCTTTGACGTTCTTTGTTTTTGATTTCTTCACAACTTCATTCTTACCATCCCACTTCACTCGCAATATGTAATCTCATAAGAATATAATTAAATTATTGATACTGATGACTGAAAAGTCATCACTGGATTTTTGGATGGATGATACCCCGGAGTTAAGAAGAAACTGAGAACGTGGACTTCTGAGTCATTTATGCAACTGTATTCATAATCAGAAATTGCAGCTGTGGCATGTTTGCAAAGATTTTTTTGGAATCAAGTGTTTCTGAAGTGTACTTTAAAAGTGAGAGCACTTAGCCACTGAGGAATAAGAAAATAGCTTGAAAGCCACTTCCAACCTAGATGTGTGTTGAATACATCTGGTTTAGGTTTTTGAGCACTTTGAACACTCTCTTCAAGGTGTTAAGGCAACTTCCCTGCCCAGCCATCCAGAGGAGCCACTCTAGCAGTCACTCTCACACCACCTGAGCTGGGACCGAGGCCCCTTCACAGCTACACGTCCCATACTCACACTGACAGACAGGGTTTCCTCACTGGCTCAATCTCAGGTTTCCCATAGCAGTCTCAGGTGTCCAGATCTTTAAAATAATGTAGTTGCAGTGCAATAACTACATAACAAAATAACAACACTGTGGATCACATGCAGTCATCTGGTGGAAGGCCTCAGAAATGAGTCTGGGAGCCACAGCTGCCCCCCACTGGACCCAGCCAGTGCTGATTTTCAGCACGGCTGCTGGGTTGGCTTTCCTTGTGGATACATTTTTCTCCCCCAGCCTGATTTACTTCTTCTTAGACCTGAGATAACTGGGCAATAGTTATCTTTATCTTATCTCAATTCCCATCATCTGGCTTAGCTCATGGTACAAATTCCTGGAATCCAGGAGGCATATTTGGGAGGGGTGGGCTTTGGTGGTCTCAGCTTCTTTATACAGTTTGCGAGAGTGGACAAAGTCCTTCAGTGATCTTAACAGTTATGACAATTATGACATTTAAGTGTCTTACAAAAGGCTTATGATCATGAAAAGCCAAAGTAACATGTAAACAAATCTGAGATGCAATTTGAGATGCAGGTCTGGACCTGAATTGTACCAGAATGTAGTGCTCAGAACTGGGGCTTTAGTTCACTTTAACATAAAGAAAAAAGGTTCTTACAAAGGTAAGGTTTGATGTGAATTCCCCAAAATTTCAGGGTTATTTGCAGCTGGACCTTACTTCAAATTGCTACGTCATTACACAGCAATTGGAAAGTATGAAGATGAGCTGCTTTTACTAAAGATCTCTCAGTCGCATTGACTCTGTATGTACAGCCTGCAGAGATCCATGAGCGCTCTCTCCTGTCCTAAGGCATGCAAATACTGAAAATTAAAGTCACTTTGTGTGATTACAGTATGTGCATTTGGCCATGGCATACTAAAAAGCCTTTACATGTGAGCACTGCACATATGAAAGTGTGGTGTGCCAATCTCATCCTTTCTCTCATGTGACTTTTTGTCCTCTGGTCTAAATGCTGCAGATAATGGAGTTTGATGCTATGCATCTGATTCTGAATCTTTAGTACCTGATAGAATTGCAGCTAGCCATGGCAACTGGAGACATCCAAAAATTGAAAAGTGGGTCTTAGACCATAATAAGAAAAGTTCTCTTTTTTTGTATGAAGAAGT